TGCACCAAAATTGTTGGAAATGCTTCTGGATATGCCCAACAAAAATACACTGAAATTAATATCAGGCTGAATTTTTTCAACAATAAGAATTTGTTAAAACCATAACAAAAGAGGATGAAATTTGCGGAATCTGTGGGATTTCCCACTTACCTGTTGGATAAAGATTCGTATCACCATCGATCTCGAACAATAGCGGATTCCTATCGAACGTATATGCATTCATATGAGCACCATTATTCGCTAGTAACTTCACATGAGCCACCTGCGATTTTGATGTCGTCAACAGGTCAGCACAGTGCATTCTACTCAACAATTTACGTCTGAAATTTTAACAAATATTGAAAAATTAGCATATTTCCTCCAAAAACTTCAGGATATACACTAATTCACAGACTATTTCCCAAGTTTTCAATCAGACATTGTTGTCAAAAAAATTCCAATTATTGAACGGGTGTATACGTGGAGATAGCGAAGGTTTTTATAAAATTTCTGCAGTTTTAATGAAAGATACGAAACATTGTTTATAGAATAACGAGTAAAAATCCTCCGGACACAACGATTTCTAGAGTGAAAATTTTGCATACACCGAAAATAAAGACAATAAAATGCTGACTGTGAGTAATAAACACACCGATCAGAATTCCGCATATTTGTATTACTCTTCACGGAAAATGGTTTACGGAACATGATTTTGTCACTTTTTGATGGCAAATGCAGTCACTGCACGGTACCACTCGACACACCTCTTCTATGACACAACCCTGAAAAATGTCGCCATAGAAACCGGAACAGAACTCCCAATGACCAGTGATTTTCATAGGTGGGAAACTATCCCATTGGGGTAATCCCCCGTGAGAACCATTAGTTCGATTCACAGCTGATTCATCAGTGACGTTTTCAAGTGGTTTGATCTGAGGTTGCCAAATGCGACAGCGAAGAGTCGCCAACGGATATCATTAAATCGCTCTGACAACAGTAATGATGATAGCTGAGCAATCGTAATTAGCGTTGGACAGGGGGCAGCTTTTTGACGGGGGAAGGACCCCGTCAGGGAGCACAATGGACTAGGAGGGGTAATCCAACATCTTAACCCAATAAAACTTTTAAAAACGCAACGATAATATGGGTGTTTTTGGAAAATTAAAATTTAGCTAAATATTCACATTTACTTCAAAGTTTTTTCAAAGCTTTGGAATAAACGTGAATTTTTTTTTCAAACGATTGATAACGTTCGTCATTCCATACTTTATGTAATCAAGAAGAGTTTGGGTGAGCGTTTTTAGATTTCTGGTTTGTATCACCGAACCAGATTCTCACCAACATTTTCGATTGAATCATCACATTGCAATATTCTTAACAACACGATAGATCATGTGTTTTTCTTATCTATCCAGTGAATCACGATAATGATTCAATGAAGTAAGCCTCACTGATTAACAAAAAACATTCTCAGAGATGAACAACATAGGAGAATTGTTCAGATGACTTGGGTACTACTTGCATTTTCGTGGTTTGACACTTCATGACCTCTCAGACGAATACGAGACGTCAACAACTCAAGGGTCAGAGCTCAACGCATTGAAAACCTGAAGTAATGGCTTATAAT